CCACTTCTAACGTGACGGAGAATCGGGGACTCGCAGTTGTGATTAATGACTCGCTGCAGGAACCATACTATCCAGTGTCGTCGACGACCATCTCTCGAATTTGTGCAAAGTCGAATTTGTAAATCGGTACTAATTTACATTTAATATTTTTACACGTTTCAACATTATTTTTACAAGAAAAATTAATCAGAAACAAATTATCGTTTATATCATTATTTCTAAATGCAAAAGTGCTTATATAAGTGCTTCTTTATCTAGTATATAACGAGAAATATCGCATCATAAAAATGGAATTTCTACCTTTTAATTTTGATTGAATTTTTCTTTTGAATTTTAATTATATATGTTTATAATTAAAAAGCCCTTGCCACCGATATGTCGAATTTCGTTTGATTTACCTATACCTATGTATAATGGAATTAAAGGATATTATAAATAAAGCTGATTCGCGTTATCGTCAGCTCGAATCTGTCGCCATTTGCCACACAGCTCTTTCGACTCGTTTTGGCTCGTTCCGACGCTTTGTCGACGTGTTGTCACCAATTGTCGCGCGCTGCGCCCCACGAGTTTACACACAACAGGGTGACGTGCAGTTTATGCGATTCCATTGTCAAGCATGGCTGGTTCTTCCTAGCTGTACGCAGACATATACCTACGTACCATATATACGTTTACTGCTCTGTGCATTTTCTTCGTGTATTCTATCTTGATTCATATCCGTTCTTACATCACACTATCTTTTTCAACAATATCATATAATAATTTATATTTCAATTCCATATACATATATAATACCTACAATATATTACGGTTATCTTACATCTCATTATACTTTTTTATACTTGATTCTCATACTTAATTTTTTATTATAAAATTTTTCTAATAATCATTGTAAACAAGAAACTGTATAATGCTTACGATTTTTCACAATTTTTTTACATTTCTTAGTATTTTTACAATAAAATATCTTTTTCTCTTTCCTTTCTTGTTAAATAAATTTAGAGAGAGAGAGAGAGAGAGAGAGAGAGAGAGAGAGAGAGAGAGATGTATTTATATATGTGTATAAATTCGTCCATTTTCAACCAGAAAATTTTTTTCAGTGAAGCTTTTGTGCTGTATATATAAGTTCACTTACTAAATTTTTTATTATTCGTTTCATTTTTTTAAGATTTTTTAAATTTAATTTTTGTTATGAAAAATAAGATTGTGAAAATTGTTCCAAATCATTACTATTTAAAAATTAAAAAAATCTCAGGATCACAATAACTCATATACTTAATTTAATTTTAATTTAAAAATATTTCAATTGCGGGTTAATAAAATCAATAACATCAATAGAATCAATTCATACAAAAGCTTGCTACAACATTGCTACAACGTTTACAGTGCTGCAATATTGCTGAAATTATTTTCTGCTGGAATTTGTGGTGTATGAGAATTAATAATGATAATTAAAAATTAAAAATAGAATTTTAATAATCCATCAGGTTTCTCAATCTCCACTACAAAAGTTATAATTGTTCATAAAGTGATTTGACTGCCGAAAGCAATGACTGCACAAAGTATATCTTGAAAATAGCTTTATCTAGCCTTATCGGAAAGTGCAAATACGTTTCTATATTCAAATAATTTGAATGTATAAATATCCATAAGCTCGCCGTATCTGAAGCGAACGGTGTTTTTCATGACGTCGAGGAACGAATTCCACGGGTTTAAGCGTAGAACCGAGAAACCGATTGTTCTCTCGACACGCTCGCGAGATAAGAGGCTTCTGCTATCGTAGAAGCCGCACGTTCGCTCCCGCGGTTTCAATGTTTCAATGCCTGTGACCTTGGAGGGCAGAGAGAGACGTACGGGGGTTGAAACCGTGACGGAACGAAGCACCGAGGCGAGCTCGAAATCTCCCCGTTAAGGCTATATAGGTGTAATCCACTTAATACTGCAAATGCTTTGAAGCATTCTTTCATTGGTCGATTCATAAAATTCCTCCTTCTGATTGGTCAACGAAGCATTTGCAGCGTCAAGGCATACAAAGGACTTGAACAATAAAATGCAAGCGATAAGTAAATCGACATTTTGAATTTGCTACTGCTTACGTTATTGCCTTACTATTATTGTCTCTACTGTGATTGGCCAGTTCGCTTTATCGATAGGTTGTTTACAATAAGCCATTACCTAAGCATTTGAGTCTTAAGCTGTAAGAAACTGACCAATTACAGTCGAATATGAAAAGAATAATTGATTACGGTTGATCAGTTACTTACTTGAGACTAGTTTAAAATTTAAAGATAATGGCTTTTTGTAGAAAGCTCATTACTGTTTACGTCTTATTGCTCCATGTTTTCTGTGTGCTGAGTTTACGATTCCACTCTCGAACGTCTAAAACCACGAAATGAAATTTCTTTAATTTGCTGCAACCGAGAAAGAAAATCAACAAGGTAGAGAATCGATCCGTACTGTACGAAGCATAGGTCACTCGAGTGTTCGATCGACATCGTAACTCGACAATAGATCTGTTTTTTTATAGCTGAACTAGTAGTATAGACTCTTCGTACTTAAAGGGTGTGTTCAGCAGAAAAAACAGCTTTGCAACTGTCGTAAAATTCTTTAATATGATTGTACTTGGCCTTAGCTCTTCGCTGGATCTATAATATAGATGAAACCAATCATATTAAAGAATCTTACAACAGTTGCAAAGCTGCTTTTTCTGCTGAACGTAGCTGTAGTGAAATAGTTATCTGTTCTTTTCAGCTGAACTTCTTGCAGCATTCATCTTTCCTCATTTTTTCTCCAACGTAGAGAAAAAGAAGAAAGATGAACTATGCAAAAAGTTCAACTGAAAAGAACATATCTTAGATGCATGTTCGAAATTTTGTTCAAGCAAGAAGGAAAATTGCAGTCCAGTAATAAAAGACGAACTATTGAAAGAACTATTGAGAGGATCGCAAATAGGATTCTTTTTGCATACAGCACAGATCTTTTCAGCAATATTACAGCAACATTAGTATATTAATAACACTAAAGAAGAATAATATAATAGAATCTATGTTTTTCAAAGAGTTTCTAAATTAAAAAATATTTTTGGCATATCAAAATTGTGATTAAGTGTTTCAGAATTGAAAAGGACTTATCGTTTGTTATTAAAAACTTGAAAGACAGTAAATATTAGCAATTAAAAACTAGCGTTGGCTCTTAGCCTCTTTTTACTTTTATCGTCTCATTTCAGAAATATTAAAAATACATCCTTTACGAAAAAATACACTCTTGGCAGTCCGAAATGACACTCAAATTAAATGTTAATCCTCAAGTTGGAGTTTTATTTGGGAGTTAACACTCAATTAGGTGTTATTTCGGATCGCCAAGAGTGTATTTTTTCGTAAGGGATGTAACATTTTGCTATAAACATTTTTTTAAAAGGAGACTTTAGGGGTCATAGTCCCCATGTCGCCTACCGTGGATCCGCTACACTGAAAGAAAAGATTGGTTGTTGTAGCAAATTAGATGGTTAAATATGGCATAGCATTTTTAATTGACTGCAGCAACCAATTTTTGGTTGCGTTAGCTAATCGAAATTCTATACTGACATTGCGGATAAGCTAACACAACCAACAATTGGTTGCAGCAACCAAAAATTGGCTGTTGCAACCAATTAAAAATGCTATACTATATTTTACCATCTAATTTGCTGCAGCAGCCAATCTTTTCTTTTAGTGTAGTGAACGTTGCAACAATATTGCTACAAACTTCTCTGTATGATCCGGATTACGTCGTCGACCGTCAAAAGAACCCGTTTCCCCGCGTGCGGTGCTATTTGGAGCGTGCTCGCCGTCTCGGCGCGCTGCGCATTGTGCATATATGCGGTCTCCAGGGTGGCGCCCTTTCCTTGCTTGCACCAGGGCGATGTAGCGTTGCGGAGATTGGAGGGGATTGGAGGGGTTGAGTGCCAGGGCTGTATCCGCATTTTCCCGTCAATCAATAATCCGCACACTTCTGTCTCCGTTCAGAGCGACATCGGGAAGCTTTTTTTCCTCCCTTCGACGGGAACTAACGACGATGTTTCTCCTCGATGTTCGCGATGTTGTGAATACATTAACGCACTGTGCGAAAAAGCGTTGATATCACGTGCGAATTACTTCCTGGTTAAAAAACAAATCTCTCGTTAGTCTCGAATTAATGGCGTTACATCCTACAATCCGGATACTTGTGTTTCATTAATGTTTTATAGCTTCCGCGGGATTTACGGAAGATTTAATTGTAATTAACGATTGTGATTTTCCATCTTGCGTTTGTCAAACAAGCCATGTGAGCATCGAGTTTTATTAAGGGTCATCTCACATCATACAATTCTCCAAAAGATGTTTAGAGAAGTGTCATAAAAGCCTTAGGGCTTTTTATGGACGTCTTCAGGAGAAATGTGTCGTGTCGGATGGCACAAAAAAATTTAAGCAGTGAGGAAATCAACATGTTGGATTACAGTTTCTACTGTGATTGGCCAATTTGCTTATTGCTGAAGTTTTTTTACTCCTACCCTAATTTTTCATCTGCAATGATAGGCTTGTTTTTTTTCCAAGACTAAACTTCTTGCGTGATTCATTTTTGATCTTTTTTTTTCAATATGAAAAGAAAAAGAAGAAAGATGAATCGTGCAAGAAATTCAGTCTTAGAAAAGAACAAGCTTCATATTTTTACTTTCTCCGTCCAATCTAAGTTTTTTTTACTATTCTACATTAAGAAAAATTTATGGTTCAAAATAAACAAAACAGAAGATTCTATAATGATATCAATCAGGTTCTGAATAGATTCAATCAGAAAATTCTGATTTGTTAATTTTCAACCAAAATTCCAATTAAAGCAATCAGAGTCTTTTTCCAGAGTAGGCTTTCAAAAAATGCAAAAATTAAAATTCAGGGTTACTTTTCAACATTTTTGTTACATTACAAAATAATTTTTAACAAAATATTTTAGAAGGGAGAAAGAGAGAGAGAATTGGATTCTGTCCTCCTTTATTTTGGAGTTTAAAAATGAAATTTTGCTCGTGCCAAAAAAAAACCTAGACGGAAGGTTAATTTGTTTTTATTAAATTCTTCGATGCGAAACATCTGTAAGATATAAAATGTAAATACTTAAGTTATCAATTAAAATGCAAATAATTGAATTATCAAATAACTAAATGTCCCACTTTAATCCCAGATAGCACAGAATATTTAATATTTATATATTTATATATTATATAAATATATATATTAATATTTATTTTATATTATATAAATATTTCATACATATTTTATATAAAGCTTCATTCAAAATATTATTAAAATGTAAATGATCAAATATTTTATGCAATATTTATGATAAATATAAATAAATATTTCTAAGTATTTTTTACTTGGATTATGTCTCATTAAGTATTTTCATAGCATTTATTATAACATTTACAATAAAAATATTTCATAATAATATTTGTAATAAATCTTATAAATATTCATAAATATTTTCTAAATATTTTATAAATATTGTATATTGTCTGAGATACTCTATACATATGATATTTTATTTTTATGATAAGAACAGGAGATTCTATCGCAATCCATGCAAAATCTCCCGATTAAAGCGTAAAACATAATTGAACGTTTTCTGCTACCAAAGTAAATTCAAATGTGTTCGCGATACTTTTTATCACGACGTGATAACGAGACGAAAGGTGCAGGGTGCCGTACTTTCGTAGACGGCCCTGGAAGAGGGCCCCCTCCCTTTCGCCACGACAATAACACGAACGAGACGTTCGCTATTTCGTCGGGAGTACTAGCTGGTGTATTACGGTGCGATTCATTGTGATTCATTGTTACGTGCTGCGAGATCGAGTTCACGTAGACACCATTGGACGCCATTTCGTCGACCAGACGTCCGTCAAACTGTCGGATGGCCAAGCCGTGGAGCTCGTGACAACCCGTCGAAACACGGTGAGTTAAAACTGTCGACGTAGCACTCGTAACAGGTCATAGGGACGAAAGTTGGCAACCGAGGGGTGCGATCAGCGACTCTCGACCTTATGATCGCGGCTGCACTTTCTGCACTCACCGCGCGACACCGCGCTCACCCCAAACCCCGCTTGCACTTTCCTATTGTTTCCTACGGAATACGCGTCCAGGGAAACGCATCTCTGAAATCTGATCTTCCTAACTGCACTCCGTACACTCCACTCCGATTTCCTTCCTTGAATTATTCCGGACATTTCCGGATCGTGAGTATGTACACAGTTACCTCATTCCAGCAAGTGCAGAAGGTGCTCGAAGGAGCTGAATACATGGGTATCTATTTCCTTTTGTTTTCTTTTTAGGAGATATAAGTCGACACAATTAACCCATTTAAGTATAATTTGCCACTTAAAATTTAAATGGAATGCGTATGTATAGCGTATGCGCAAATTTTTAGTACCTAACCTCACAGAATTTACAATTATCTTAAAATTTCTCAACAGTGTATTTTCTAATATTATATATATTATAAATATGATAAAAGTTGGTTTATGGGTGGACTCTAATATTGTTCAATTGATTAAAATCACACGTCCATTCTTCTTCCGAACAAAATCGCAAAGTGTCGATCGAGTTTTGAACAAAATTGTAGATGGATTCGACGTGTGTCGATTTGTGTCAAAAGTGTTGATTGTAGGTGCTTTCCGTTTATTGACACAAGTCGATACAAACATCACTTTTCATTTACTGACACAAGACGACACTTGTGTCGACTTGTGTCAGCAAATGAAAAGCACTCCTAAAAAGAAAACAGCCCTTTTGATGTAGCTGTATTGAACTACACTTTCGCACACTTTCTATCATAATAAAAGTGATATGTATTTGTTGTTTGAAGAGAAAGGCGAAAGAAACAAAATGCAGAAAGTAAAACGTGGTGGAATTAAAAGGAGATTAACGTCTACAAATTATAGAAATTAAAATCTTGCAAAATTATCATTTATCTTTGGAAAATTGATTTGTTTTATGCATAACAATATTTACCAAATCTATTTAAATGGTTTTCGAGTATACTCTAAATCTTGTTTTGCTCTCGGAATTTATTGTCACTGAAATTTGTGTGATTATTAGATAATTGTAATTACTTTATCCGAGATGCTAAAATACATTATTTTATCATGACAGGAAACTATTGTATGAATTGAGATACAATATGGAGCTAGTGTCAGGAAACGACAAAGAAAAAGTGAAAGCTAATGCAGAAGCTGCTGTTGCTGATAAAAATAAAATAACAAAGGAAACTATAATGGAGCCAGTGTTGGAAAATAATAAAGAAAAAGCAAACATTAATATACAAGTTGCTGTTGCTGATAAAAATATAGCAACGAAGGAGCAAGTAGTTACAGACGCAGGGACGAAGGTAAAATTTTAAATTATTAAGTTGCACCTATTTTTATATACAATTTTTAGTGGAAATTATATCAATAATAATAAATCATTTAAGAAAAAGAATCTTGTTTTGATCAAATCGAAAGATTGTGATGCTTAATAATATTTATATGTAGACTTACAATTTTCTCATCGCAGTTCTATAAACTGCGCATTGATAGTTTAATTTAAAATTCAGATTTTAAAAGCAATAAACTGTAGCTAGAGAAATAACATCAACAATTTCAATTAAAAATTACATTGGTCGTCAATTATTAAATGATATTAATCTATATATGAATATTATTAAGCACCAAGATGTGCTTTGACTAAAAATAAGATTTTTTCTCTTATTTGATTGCTATTTTTTTTTCAAAAAAAATTCCATGAAATTTATATTTGATATTTTGATATAATTTATTTATCTTATCGATAAATGCACTTTAGATTGTATCAAACAGTTTCTTGCAATCTAAAATTGACAAATTGCTTGATATATCGATTTATCTTTATTGTAGAAAAACGAGGATTCCACCAGTAAGCCAAAGAAAACCGTCGCAAAGGTCAAGACGAAGAAGGTTCGGAACAGTCAAACGAGTAACGAGCCTACGAAATTGGAGGATAATCTGTCCCAAGTGGTGGAACGCTTCAAGAAAGGCTGTGAGTGTGTCGAAGATGAATGCTTCAAAGGCCTAAATCCCGAGGTGGTTTATCGGCACAGGTTAAACATCGCGGAACTAACTAAAGCCGAGCATGACATGTATTTAATGGGCGTGACAATGGCCTGTCTGACTGATCCCTATCAAACAGCCCGGCACACGGAACGACGTAGATTACGTGCGCAGTACGTTTATCAGGGTCGAAGAGTGTGCCTGGACGCTTTCTTGTATCTGGAGAATTGTACACATTATCAGCTCAAGCGAATCCGGAAGCATCTGATGACGCACGGTGTGACGCCACGCATGCATGGTAATCACGGCAAGATACCGCACAACACGTTCTCGCTGGAAACGTACAAGATCGCGATGAAATTCCTAAAGAGTTTTATCGAGATGCAGGAAACGAAGCAAAAGACCAAGCTCGCCAAGAACGCGCCGTTGCATCTACCGTCGGATTTGACGCGGAAAACTGTGCACGACCTGTACATGCAGTACTGTAAGAAGGTGTCGCCCAACGTCAAGAAATTGGGGTACTCGACGTTTCGGCGTTTCATGAAGGTGCAGTTCCCGCAGGTGAAATTCGCCAAACTGGAGTTCGCGAGAAGTCAGACCGCGCAGAATCACTGCACGACCGAGTCCGATGCGAGAGACGACACGGGCCAACGGAGATCACCCAAGTCGGAAATCGCCCTCGAGGCGAAAGGCAGTAAGATACTACCGTTGGTAATAACCAGTGATCTAGGACAGACCGATACCTACGTGCTGACGCCTATCAGAAACTTGCATGACAACTGCACTGCGACTTATCAGGTCACTACGCGCGGGCTGGTACTCAACTGTTATCACACGATTGAAAACAAAAGCGTATAACGTGGAAGACTGAAAAACAAAATAATGAAAAAATAATTTTATACAAACGGTATGCGTGTGTACAATATATGAATGTGATATATAATGTAAGGCTGTATTTCCCTGACAATTGCTCCCGATCTTAAACTGAGAATCAGTAATATAAGAAATACGTAAGTACAATAATCTTTTAATATATATGAACGATATATGAAATTATATACAAAGATTCTAACTTATACTGCTGTTAAGTACGATTTTGTTAAAATATAAGTATGTATATTTTTTGTTATATCGAATAAGCAAATTGTGTTCCATCAAAAACATGTAGATGTATAACAAATATAAATAAGCTATGTTCTATCAAAAACATTTGGATGTATGAAATATTTCTGCAACCAATAAAAAACATTTAGCCAAATATTTGTAGATAATACATTCATATATAAGACTTCTGTAGAAACAATGAGAATGAATAATTACGTAAATTGTATTTGTTAAAAATGTACAGTCTATCTTATTTCATATAATAAAACTTTCTTTGAAACTATGAAAAATATACCTTATTTTTCATGACCTTCATATATATCATCACCTTATATGTATGTGTTCAGAGAGTTCAATGAACTGATACCAAAAAGTATAGAATCTTAATATTTCTTATCTTCCTTGAATTCCAGACATGGAAATGAAGTAACTATAGTAATAACAGCTACAGTGCTTCTCATTTCATGCAAACATAAACTTTCTTTATTAAGTTACTAACTACCTATTATGTATACATAATTTACACATTTTATTTGTAACATGTATGTATAAAAGCGTATATATTTTTTATGTTATCTTATAAAACAAAACCGAATTTAAATTAATTAATGAGCAGAGATAAAATCTAATATTAATAAAGCAGATGAAATTCTAGTTGCAATTATCATAAAACTCTGATTTTTAAAGAGTTTTAAAAATGCTAAACATAATGCATATTACATATAGCTCATGATTAATTTTCTTTTCTTCTAATAGCTCATATCTAAAATCTCATTTCTTATATATGCAAAGTTAGGAAAGGCGTTGAACCGTTACAGGATCAGGTGTTTTCTAGGATGTGTCGGTAGTTAGAAATTAACTATCTTGTCTTTCAAGATTCTTGGCATAATTAAGGGTATAATCTCCCGTTTGAGAGCCTCTTGGTTTACAGTTATATCAGCAATATTGTGGGTACTGTAGGAAACTGTTTCAGCTCAGTGGCATGAGCAAGGTCATGTGAGTGCAACCTTCTGATCAGGTACTCGCATTCAGTACACCAGTGAGACTTGAGCCGTGCATTCACTGTAAACAATTGCGTAACAGAGTGTCAACTGGAATCGTTAAGTTATTTGAGCTTTTTGCTACAATTGAGTGATACTGTGACACCTACTGTGAAGTGTAGCAATTTTTTCTTTTTTCAAATAATTCGGACACGCGGTTTTTCCAATGCTAATTCAAGAACAAAATACATGGTAAAAGTTTCTATTACCGTGATTATGTTAAAAGTATTCAATAAGATTTATATTACATAAATATACATGAATTAATACATGAGTAATGCCTATATATTTGCAAATGTTTAAATATATAAAAATGAAGCAGTGAAGCAAAGAAGCAGTTTTAATTAATTTCTAACTATACTATACTGTTTATTAAGTAATTTTTTAATTTTAAATATAAATTTTTTATTAATTTAAGGAATTTATTATGAATTATTAATTCAAATAAGCAACGATATATAAGAAAAAATCTAGAATATATTCTTAAAAATATTGGTGATATTGGTGATGGTTATAATGAGAAGGGCAACATATTTGGTTTCAGAAGATGTAGAGAGTATGACAGGCGAGATAGAAAACGGAGATTTGGCGGTTCGAGACGTCGCAGACCTTCTCCAAGCACAATACGCTATTATTGCTGGTAAATATCTAAAACGCTATAAGCTGCTCTGAGATTTTACTTCCGTCAAGATTAGTGTTTTTAAATAGCTCCTCCCTTGTTTCTTTTCAGGAGGAAAAACGCGAGAGGGATGTCCTATAATCACATTTCCAGATAATGGCAATTTTCATAACTTGACTGATTTGGACTATCAGCGTCTTATGCTGTATCTAACTTCTGTGCCAACGTAAGAATACAGCTGATTAGTTCAACGCGATTAATTTATGCATGATTTTGTTTCTCTTTTTGTGTTAAACTATTTAATTACCTGAATTAAATTAAATTACATTCGTATTTTAAACTTTATCACTTAGACTGCAAGAAGCTGATCTTGGATTTCATTTAATAATTGATCGGAGAAACGATAAGTGGAATTCAGTGAAAACGGTACTTCTAAAAATTTCTGTAAGTGCATTCAACGTATCGTACAATAATTCATACAGGTTTATCTGTTCAAAAATTTAGACTGAAATTGAGAATAATTGTTCTTATCATAAGTATTTATTGTATGTTTTTTTTCCAGGCATTTTTTCCTGGTTTAGTACACGTCGCGTATGTACTACGACCCGTTGGATTTTTACAAAAGGCCATTTCGGAAGTGTCGAATAAATTATTTCGAGAGGATTTCAAGTTTAGAGTTATTTTCTTAGCTAACGTCGCCGAACTACATGAGTTCATAGAGAAGGAACAGCTTACCGAGCAACTCGGCGGCGATTTACCATATTGCCATCATACTTGGATACAAAACAGAATTGTAAATACGTGAAACAAATTTAACGATATTGGGTGAAATTAACTCGTGCATTTTGTATTAATAAATTTTCATGTTTTTTTTACTTTCTTTGTACAGAGTTTGGAAAAGTTTTCATCGATGACGCAGGACGTGTCTCTCGCGTTGGACTCTTTCACGCGACGTTTGGCCGAAGTGGAATTTCCTAACAACACTCTAGCTACGACAACACTATTGTCGCAGCAACAAGCTGAATATAACGAGTTAAAAGAAGAAATACTCAGCGCTGCTAGGCACGGAGAAGCCCTTTTGGATAGTGTACGGCAGCTGACAGGAAAAGGAACGGCCGACAGATTAGGAAATGTTGCTGCAGTAGAGAGGTAAAGAAATAAAAGAAGAAATCGATAATTAATAATAAATTTGACGAAATAATTTACAAATCAATTGCTTTTTATTTGACTTAATTAATCTAATAAGAAATCTAATCTAAAAGGGTTCGTCTCCAGTGAAGTTAATCGTGCCAACTTTTTCTTTTATAAAAAAAGAAGAAGAACCAGTTTGCCGAGCGACGCGATTACCTTCAGTGGGAGATGGGAACGCGTCTTAATAAGAAAATAAGAAAATCTAAAAAGAAAAGAAAACATTTATAAATTCTTTGACTGTTTATAATATTGAATGTTAAATATATTTTAATTTTTTACATTTTAATTTAATTTCAGACTACTTGTTCAGTTGGAGGAAACTGAACGAACTTTCGACTTGTTTTGGTCGCATCATAGCTCACGTTTGAGACACTGTCTGGCTCTGCGGCAATTCGAGCAAGATTTTCGAGAATTGCAAGCGACATTAGATCAGCATTTAAAGACGGCGGAAGAAATGACGGAAGTCGGCGAGACGCAAGCAAGAGTGGAGCAATTATTGCACGACACATCAGCATTTCAGCGAATATGCAGAGTACGTGATATTTTTTAATTTTTCGAGATAATACAATATATCAAATTAACATATTTGATCATTTTACTGATGAAATACCTAAAATCTCAGAACAAATTGGATTTTCAAATAGCATAAAAGAGTTTGTTGAAAGATAAAGCTAAAGAATTGTAAATCTAAAGGCCCATTATATGAAAGTAATATGATTATACGATGACTTATTGTTAGTGAAAGCAATTTAACAACATTGCTAATTTTGAACTTCGGAACAGAATGTACACATTGCACTCAAAGCACCAAAATGCATCATTCAAACTAGTACTTTTTTTATTCATTATGAAACCATTTCTCTTCTTGCAATATAAACTCCGTAACGAGATAGAAATACAATATTATACTTGCAAATCATGATTATGCTAGAAATTTAAATATCTGTCATCATGTTTATATGTAACACGTAATTCTGGTTTGAACATGATTACCAGCAGTAACATATATAACGCACATCATGCACAAATGTTACTTTGCACCGCTTTCCTCATTTTGTCGATAGTCCTATTTGTTGCATACCATGTGGATTTGGGTCTTGGTAAGCAATCCACTTAACAACATTCATGTATTCTGTAATAGACTTCTGTAATACATTTTGAGACACAGAGATTTTGATATCTTAGCATCTACGTATTACATATGTCTCAGTCTTATACTTATCATGTCTTGGACTGAAATAGAAAACGTTACGTTTCGACAAGTATTTCGTAGGCGCTACATGAATTAAATTTTGATTACTCGTTATTTACCGTTTAAGCTAATATCTTATTTCGTTTTCTTACTTCTTTTAGTTGAAATGCACGCATAAGTGTCATCGGAAAACCGGTGGAGATTTGATTCATGTCCGATCACTGGCACGATGAACTTTTGAGAATGTGACTATCATTATGATTTCTCGATCTCTGCATTGCACGCATATATAATAGTGTATTTTTGTTTATTTTACGAGAACTTTTCTTTCTAGACGATTTAATGAGACTAAGAAACATGCCATGGTTGTTCGTAGCACTTTCATTTATATATCGACATCTAATCGCGTTATCGTGCATAAATGTAATTACATGTGTTTATAGGGAGACATAGATCGCGCAGAGGAGGTGATATCCGCTGGTCAACTGCTATTGTCTGGAAGACATCAGTGCCCAGCGGACGTTGTGGAACCCAAATGCGTGGAGTTGCAGAGAGTCTGTACTATTCTCAGTCAGAGACTCGAGAGACGACTCCTTATGCTGACCAAGTGCAGGGAACTTATGGAGCGTATAGATAAGGTGCGTTCAGTTCGCGTTTCAGATCTATTAGTTCTCCTTCCGATGAAAGAGTTAATTCTTTGTTAATTAATTAGGCTAACACTTGGTGTACGCGAGGGATAGAATTGTTAGCGTCGCAGAATAGCACCACGCCACCGGATCAGGCGCTCCAAGAGCTGCAACAATTGATCGAAGCCGCGGAGGAATTTCATCATCCCCGATGTATCTTTCAGGATTCTGTGATGCCGGAAACTAAAGCGCTCATCACACAAGTATGTATTTCTAAGAGATTTCTTGTTGTAAGATATACATCTTGATACGAAATCTGTTTCATAGGTTCTACAAAGGATAGAAGACGTATCTTTGATGTGCGACAAGAGAATAATGGCACTAAAACAACAGTTGATTAAACCAGCTAGACCAGTACAAACCGTCACTCCAGAACCAGTCAAACCCTTACAATCACTGCCTCAAACCGTAAAGTCTGGCAGAATCCTTAAAAAAGCTAATACCATGCCAAAGGTAAATTTCGTTTCTTACTTATAAATGATATTTGAAAAATTATACAGTAGAATTCCATTTATACGAATCAGTTTGTGATTAGTTCCAAATGTATTAATTCATAGCTACAGAGCTCTTATTATCCGAATTGCGACGTTGTATATTTGGAATTGAACACGAACTGACCACGAACTGATCACGAACTGATCACGAACTTGTTCATATGAATGGAACGCAGATAAACAAAGTTCTATTATATATAATTTGTTGCAACTACAGCAATGTAGTTCGGATAACAAGAGTTTGACGTCGTGCTCGACTTCAATTTTCTGAAATTAGCTCTTATTATCGGAACTAATAGGTGCTGGTAGAGGGGAGAACTAATGAGCCTCTATTATCGGAACTATTTGGTTATTGCAACTGTCTTGTCTTTCAACATGTTTGGAAACGAAGTTTTGCTGTATGTTATTTCATTTCATAAATTTTTTGTACATATATAACTTTTCTATTTATTTAAGATGGAGATGAGTCCTATAGAGGGAGAGTCTTCGTCGCCGGAAAGCGAACCTCGAGACGTCGAAGCTTTACGCTTAAAGCGCGGCCACGTCTTGACCGAACTCGTAGAAACTGAGCGAATCTATGTCGCAGAACTTGGCTCAATCATTAAAGGCTACAAAATGGAAATGACAAACGAGGCAATGGCTCATTTGATACCCGCTGCATTAGTTGGAAAAGCGGACGTGTTGTTTGGAAATTTAGAGGATATTTGTATTTTTCATGGAGAGACCTTTTTAAGGGATTTGGAGAACTGCATTTCGAATACTGAGCTCGTCGCTTTGTGCTTTGTTCAAAGGGTGAGTTATACAGCACTTATATATACATGCCATGTCTGTTTAAATAATAATTTCATTTATATTTTTAGCGCGAGATGTTCTTTAGATTGTACAGTTATTATTGTCAAAACATTACGCGATCTGAAAGATTGCGCGAACAAATACAAAGCGAGCCACAGTTTCTCGCAGCTTGCCAGCAGAAGCTTGGTCACAAGCTGCCGCTCGCTGCCTACCTTCTCAAGCCTGTTCAGCGAATTACTAAGTACCAGTTGTTGTTAAAAGATTTATTAAAGTATAGCGATGAACCTTCGTGCTGCACCGAGTTACAGGAAGCGCTGGATTGTATGCTAGTTGTGTTAAAATGCGTTAATGACAGCATGCATCAAACTGCGATAACAGGATTTGGAGTAAGCATCTTGGCTTTATTTTTGTCGCGATTTATTGTATCTTATCTCTTATTGTATCTCTGCATTTATAGGGCGATTTGAGTGCACAGGGTGAATTATTGTTACAAGGCTCATTTAGTGTCTGGAGCAGTAGTAAACGGGAGCGTCTGTTGCGACTAAAACCATCTCAGCGACATATTTTCTTATACGAAAAGGCTCTGATATTTTGTAAGCACAGCAAACCTCAAGCTCACGACAAAGCCACGTATCATTTTAAAAGATATTTGAAGGTATTTTTCAATCTTAAAATTACCTGTCTTTCTATTTAATCATATTTAAGCAATTTACATGTAATTCTGTTTAATGCAGATGTCCCAGATTGGTTTAACGGAGTCGGTGAAAGGCGACGCCAGACGATTCGAGATATGGTTACAAGGTAGAGCCGAGGTGCACACGATACAAGCGCCGAGCATCGATGTGAAGCAATCCTGGGTGCGCCATATTAAAGGGGTTCTGATGTCCCAACTAGCCGAACTTAAAGGCAAACAGAATTCAGCTCTTGGAAAATCCAATCATAAGTATGTGATTCTTGCTAAAAATTAATAATATGCATACATTCCAATCCTTGGAATATTTCATTACTTTTTCGTCTTCTAAAGGCCCTTGAGACAAACTATCTCGTGGGAAGCTCAAGGCAGTATATCGGGATCTTTGCGAACGCTATCCGTTGATAGCAACAGCGTTATCTCTCACATGACTGACGTGTCGCAGTCCACAGAGGAGGATGCGGCGTGGAGTTCGGAAAATAGCAATACGGACGACGAGGACGCATTTGGCGACAGTCCGGGACCGGCACCTGTAAGTGTTTTCTTCATTGAAGAGTTTAAATGCCGAGACAAGGTCTTGGACTAACGTATTCTTTCTTTTTGATAAGTAAATGCATTTGTCTCATGATCGCAGGGTGGAAGGTACGTGGCATTGGCCGATTATTGCGCGGTGGGGCAGTCTGAAGTCACGATGCGCGAGGGTGATACCTTGGAGCTTCTCAAAGTTGGCTGTGCTGGCTGGTGGTTCGTCAAACTGATCGGCAGCGGCGTGGAGGGATGGGCACCCGCGGCATACTTGGAACCGATTAGTCGGAAAACATCACGCAGTTCGCAGTCGGTGAACAGTCAAGAGACCATATGAAACAGGCGACTAACACACTAGAGAACCCGCTAGTGTGTTAGATCTTTGTTCGTCTCTGGAGACCTCCGCAGTCGCGTTAGAGAGATATCCGTCGTTCGATATCTCAAGGATTTTCCTAAATAGCGAACGATTTTTGGAAATCTTTTACATTTAAACGAGATGATGAGTTGGGTCATTTTGTGTACCTTTCTTACGCAGTCCAGCATATACAAGGTTTGTTGAGTGACGCTTTTGCGTTTGCGAGAAACGTTAAGTTGAACAAGATTTTTACGTTCACGGGAATTTTATAATGCATAACGAGAGGAAGATAAAATGGAACGAGACACTTGACATTTCATGATGATCGCACTGCGAACGGTTGATTGAACAAGTTGTTGCAGTTGCGTCAAATTGGATGAGCTCGTTTTCGAGCATTTACTGAATTGTACAAAATGTAGCATTGAATTAAGCCGGGATATGTACGTGCACACGCACAATGGATTACGAGACGATCTCGTATCAATCACTACAATTTCTAATAATAACGATGCACATGTCGTACTTCAGAAGGAAGGAAAAGACACGACTTTGACGTTAAATCGCACGCGTCCTCGCGTTCGGTTACTTATAATTTTAAGAAGAATTTGCATGAAGTATGTAAGCGTATTCTGTAAATGGTAGTTCTACTTGCGACCCGAGTAATCAAATATCGGCTGTACGCGATTATTCCAAAGTTTAATATTGTTATAAGAAAGAGAAAGGGAGGAAGACGTGTGACATTTTCGTCCAGCGTTTTGTCGATGATACGCGTAACTTCATTTGCCGGCTGGACGAACCCGATAAACGATCTTATCCTTGTTCGGTGTATTTTACGGCGTCGCGAGTAATTAAATAACGATCGTCAGACGCGTTGCCGTCGTTCGCGTCAGTTAAGTATCATATGTTGGCTTAGAGTTCTTAGATAGAACCCTACATGCATCGTTAACAACCGAATAGTACAATTTAGCGCAGTTTTACGAGCTTTGAGAGTATCCTAAATGTTTCGTTTTTCGAAGATTGAAATATAGAATTTGCTTCCGGTTGAAATATAAAATATTCGCTAAGATAAATCCTCGAGCCTTTGAAAAAGGGGAAAAAACGTGTGATAAAAGAAACCGTTAGACCGATGCTTTTACAAACTAATCATTGTAAACACCTGCAGAGAAAGAGATGTTTAATTAATATTACGCCATTCTCTTAGAACGTTAGATATATTGTTGACGAGTCATTGCGACCAAATATAAGCTTGAGATGTTACTATCACTATATGTGAACCATTCGTTTCGGGGGAGTAATGTGCGGTGGTAGGTGGTGGGACAGAGAGGATTCAAAGAATCATATACAACGTGTACACAAATTTTCTAGGAGGCTAAACGGTTAACACCAAGTAACACGCAATATCTGATACCGATAAAAATCTTAATGCATAATATATATACTTTAGGATTATACAATAAGCAATCTTTTAGCGGATTTCGTAACCCACCAATTTCATAAGTCTCCATTATGATATATACGACAATGTATAATAGTATCATTTGTACTGAAACGTTTGTACGAATACGGATAACATAATTTAAGAGGGATCATCTCGATCGCTATGATTTTCTTTCCGATGTCGCGTGCGTTAATTGTGTCCGCTCCTATGATACGCAAAAGGACATGATCGCAACTTTTATTCTTATATAGCCTACATGAGTCTCTGCTTTAGTATTTATAATCCGAGTATTTTTATTTGTACAGAGTTATCGATATTTATTAGATATTTATTAGCTATATTTATTGAGAGTAGAAAATTATTTATTATATCGCAATAAGAGAGTTACGATGATTTATACTGGCTCAGGCTGCTTCAGACTGATTTACAATTGATGTAAATGCGATACGTTGAAAGCTATTGCGTAACTTACGCAAATTTTACGATTGCGTAAATCTTAGATCGAGTATATGTGAGTTCGTTTCTTGTCGGGCAACTTGCGTTTTGCACAACTTGCACCTCCGATCGTACAAGCACGGTATTTCTTCTTCGTCACGTCTGTTACTTTCCACGTCTTCTCAGTCGCACTTAGAATTGTAATACATCTACGTGTATTCATCCATTTGTACGCCGTCCTTATATTGACCGTAAAATTTCAATCAAACGAGCAATGTTAGTTTAACACGATACGTTTCCTCAAAGCGTCCGCTTTGCGTTGCGATATCGAAGATAACGAATGTGCGGTCGATTTCATTTTTTTTACGGTTCTGTATAAAGAGAAGACATAACAGTTTAACTCGAAAGAAATAATAATAAAATGCCGCTCGTTGTATTTATTGTCCGCGAACGTTTCCGCAATATGTCACCTTCACTGGAAGTCGTTCGTGGAATCTTGCGAGCGATTCCTCATCTATGTAAATCGCGTTAAAAAGCGACCAAGCCAAGGGTGATATCTAAACATGCAAGACGCGTTTTTTGTAGAATCTATAAATATACACATGTATATGTATACACGCATACACATACATATATACATAGACAATAATTATATACCCGCTGTTGGAGGATGCATGACAATGCGTCCGTTTACATAACGATAATTCATGATAAAGCATGATAAAGCATGACCGAAGAAGCGATACTTTCCTCGGCGATCACCGGGGCAAATAGAAGCAGGTTTCTGCGAGTGAATCTCTCGCCGTAGTCGGAATTACGACATTAATAAACAGAGTTGTCACAAAACTCGAAATCAGGGAAATTAGGAAAAGTCAGGGAATTTTGCATAGTTTTCTGGAAAATAAAAGAAGTTTAATATGCATACCTACATTATGCAGTTTGGGAATACTACTAATTTAATAATTAAAAAATTGGAAGCAGTATCAGCAACATTAATAATAATTTACATTGCTATTTATGTTAAATTGCTCTCTCAACAAAATATTTGATGGTTTCCAATCAGGACGAAAATACAAAAAAATTGAAAGTATTGAAAGCTTCAGAGAAAATCATGAAATTTTGTCAGGAAATCAGGGAAGTTTTTAGGATAAAGAATTTGTGACAACCCTGACAAAGAGATCGCGTAAACGTAGGTGCAATCTTTTGGGGGAGGAAAGAAGAAGAAGAAACGCGGGGAGTTTGACGTTTCGGCCGCGATTTCCTTAAACGGACGGTTCCTCTCGTCGTTCCTCGTCGGCGCAAGAGGGTGATAGTAAAATCTATTTTTGCATATAACATGTAACAAAGAGGCTGCCGAAATCTCTCCTATTTGCATTACATTCGCGTTTACGCGATCATTTCTCACCGACTGTAATTAACGACCGTTGCGTACGCTTTCTTTTCTTTCGATTACTTCTTCGGGAAATGCGATCTTTTCTTTGAGCTTTTCATAATTTCTTTTATGTGCAATCTGCGATTGTAATCGTAGGTGTAGTCTTAATTCCTCGCGGGAGAGGAATTTCTCGGAAGCTCTCAGAACCCAGCAAACGAAAATGGATTGAAATGGATTGGAAATTTTCAATCCATCCGAATTCGTATTTTAAATCCATAAAAATGGATTGGATTCCATAAAAAAAAAACATTTTTATATGTTTAAAAGATTAAATAAATTAAAGTAGTAATTAAATTATGAACTTCTATAGTTATTATTTTAAAACTTTTATACAAAAAATATACGCTAGCCGTATAATGAAGGAAACGTATTAATATGAAATATACATAAAAGTAATTAATTTATTAATTAAAAATAAGTAATTTATATATGTAACATTTATTATATATATGTATTTACGTAGTTCTTTTTATGTTTCTTTTAACTATTAAATGAAGTAGAATTCATGTGATATATTTTTACAACTTTTTTTTAATTCAGTTGAATTAAAACGAAAAATTTCTTATTCATAATTCTGTACAAAGTAGCATTCATGGTGCATTTTTAAATGAAACAATGGATTTTCTACTCACAATTTTGAATTGAATAGCATTCATGGCCCATTTTAAAAGAAAACATTTTTTTGTATTTAATTGGATTAAAAAACTGCATTTCCTATTTAGAATTTTGAATTGAACAGTATTCATGATGCATTGAAATGGCTGATATTACATTTAGATTCAACTGGATTAAAAAACTGCATTTCCTATTCAGAATTTTTAATTAAGCAGTATTCACGATGCACATAAAATACTATAATATTATTTTTAGATTAAAAAGCATAGAAATATACTCCATGCCATTCCTATAAATGAATAAATATGCATTCAAGATTGAAAAGGAATAGACATTTGTTTCATGAAATTCCTATAAATGAATAAAAACCCATTCAGGATTAAAAAAAGATTCATTTTAACATTCATGAATCCGTATTTTTGAAAATCTGAATACATTTTAATCCATTTCAATCCATTCTCGTTTACTGGGAAGCGATATTTTTATATTCAGGATGCAAAAGAATCGCTCGAGCTTAAATTGATCGATGGAATGTCTATTTATACCGAATTCTGCGTTACATAAAAACGCAACGAATTCGTTCGATTGGATAAATCCTTCGTGTACGAACGGAAATGCGATTACCAAGTAGCGAGAAACGATCACACACTTTTAATTGGAACCCATCTTCGTCTCTATCGTTTTCGAAGAAGGGAACCGAACACACCGCGATTTTTATGCATTTGACCGTTTCATTCATGCATTCATGCGTGTCACAGGAGTTTTGTTTTCCAACTTGTGTCCGAGAGCATCCTTGCGTACAATCATTTGTCAAAACTTGTATAAGTATCTGCAATACTAAACGGGAACATTAAACGCAAGAATTTGAAACGGAATCAGCAGCAAAAGCTTCAATTCTCTTGTTCTTGGCAAACCCCGCCGCTTTTTGTCGTCTTCAGTAGTTAGCTGAAAAAACGCTCGCTTGAGAAGCTAATTATAAATTATATATTATTATCAATGAGATTATCAATATTTTACGTTTTTATCAATCTTACGTTTTTATAATTTTTATATTTAATTTGATAATTCAGATCTCGTTTGCCATATCTGGAGTTTTTTTTTTCATGAGAAATTCTGCGAAGAGATATCGCAATATTTTTAGTTAGAAGATAACTATTAAAATGCTATTAAGGCATCTTGTCACATTAATAATCTTCTCTTCACCAATCAAATTAATTTTGATATTACGGTTATATAATATATAGTATATCAGCTATTATATATGTAATTTAATTTATTATATATGTAATTGAATAATTATATTTTATATATGAATATTTACCCATACAGCATAGAAAGATTGCAGAAACATTGCAGAATGATTTCATTAAATTATTGCAATATTGTATGGTGGTTGCGAAACGTTGCTGAATCATTGCTGCAAGATTCCAACAAGAGATTAAGATGTCCGCTTTTTGTAATATTGCAACGAAACGTTTCAGCAATATTGCAATGTAATGTATTTGGATAAATTTTTTACGAAGACTAAAATGAAAATTATTTTCTATACATATATCTTACTAATTTCAATTTTTCTACAAATCACATTTCTAGTGGTATATGTGCTTTTCAAAAGCAATTTTTTATGATAAAACCATAAAATATTTCAATAAATGTAGTATTAATTCTGAAGGATAAATTTATTCCCAAGGATAAAGCATGTATGTGTGTATCCCGAGCAAATATTATCAACCACAAATATTATCCACATTAAAATAATATAATCGCTTGATGAAAGTAGCAGTTAGTTGGTGTTCGCTGGGAGTAAATATTCCAATATTAAATATAGTTCACTACAACATTATATTCCAATGATTATAAATTCTGTCAATTATACAATTTTAAAAGCATTATATAGAATAATAATTATATTATTACAATGAAATAATCGTAATATTGAAATTAATCTTGATATCAATCATGATTACAATTAATATATAAACAGTGTTATAAATATATAAATAAATATTTGTTTTATATTTTTTATATTTTATATTTTTATTTTATCGATGCGATATTTCCTGCAGTAGTTTAAATCGACAAGCCGATGATACCTTGGTACCGTTTCTTGCGATTGTCGACAGATGTGGTGTGCCGCGCATCGAGCAAAGGCCAAATATTCACCGACCGCCGATTTGCTTACGCACGCATCTTGCGTCAAGTTCTGTTTTTCGAAAGGATGTACGAGCGATCCGTTGCGCGTGATAATCACTCGTGTTGACGAACAGTGACGGGTAATATCGTGTGATTCATTGCGGCTTCCTTGAATGTGGTAGCGTTACCGCGGAAATAACTGTGACGACTGTGACATAACCACGCGAATTTTCATCTCATTAATAAGATAATATCGTAAAATATGCCGCCGCAAACAAACGTAGTGCCAAAGGAAAAGCTCGAGACCCCGTCGAATGGGATTAATGCTGTTCTGTTGGGACCACCCGGTAGCGGCAAGGGCACTCAGGTATTTTTCTTTTGCGTCTATAAAAATTCATGCTTCATTTGTTTTTTCCAGACGAACTACTTGTCGCTCTTTGATGTGATAATGAATCTCACATGTGATGTAATTGAGTGAATCAAATTAGAAAGATAGTGCTGCTTGGTACCAATCTGCTCTGTCAATTATTTCATTATTTGTCAATGTCATATAACATTTGTCAACGTCAAAGACATTTGTCAATGTCAAAAATATAAATATAAATTTCGATCATTTATATTTATATATGGTTGAGCTTAGAAATATGTTGTTGAAATATCTTGTTGAATATATATTTATTATAATTATGAATAACTTTTTATAATCTTTAATCAAAATTAAAGAAAGATATTCCAAAGTTTATTACTCAAGTAGAACACAGAAGTCATAATAATATATCATAAAGACATTGTTATGATCTTATTTGTCACTTGTAATGAATTTATAAGTCATACCGTGTCTTATGATATCGTTGTAATTTGATGTTATATATATATATATATATATATATATATATATATATATATGTATGTATACATGTATACACACCTGGGTATATAATGCTTAATTGCAATTGCAAAATGGTGATGTTGAATAATTGTTTCAGGCCCCACTATTCAAAGACAGATATTGCGTATGTCATCTGTCCACCGGCGATATGCTGAGGGCTGAGGTCAACTCTGGTTCTGCCCTCGGAGCTCAATTTAAGAAAATAATGGACGAAGGCAAATTGGTCAGCGATGACTTGGTGGTCAGCATGATCCAGAACCATTTAGAGAAGCCTGAATGCAAACGTGGTTTTTTACTGGATGGTTTTCCGAGGAGTGTACCTCAAGCGGAGAAGGTAAGCTAGGAAAACTTATTACACTTTATAAAAAAACGCTGAAGTGTTTAATTAACTGTGTCTAATTAACTTTTTGTTGTACAGCTCGACGAAATGCTCAACAAGAGGAAAACACAACTTGACGCCGTGATTGAGTTCGGTATTGAGGACAAATTATTGATCAGAAGAATCACAGGCAGGCTGATACACCCGGCCAGCGGAAGATCTTATCACGAGGAGTTTGCTCCCCCCAAAGTTCCCATGAAGGATGATGTAAGTAACAAAAAGCTTTAAAGCTAATCTAGTACTCTTTGTTTCTGTTTTTTGTTTTTTACCATTTTTTACCTCATGCCTGTTTCAAGAGAAACCTACCACTTTTTATCTTTTGCCCTATTTCTTTGTTTTCTATCGCCTGAAATAAAAGCTGACGACCCTCGAAAAAGATAAGAAATAATACGTGACAAGAAACACGATTTTCGATTAAATAATCGCGAAGAGAAAAAAGGCAAGAGGTAAAAAGCAAGAGACAGAAAGCAAAGTGCACATTGATTAATTTTTCGTAAAAAAATGATCAACTCTCATACAACACAGAATTTGCAGCAATATCGCTGCAAGATCTCTGCAATATTGCTGCAACATGTGATGTTGCTACAATTTTTATGCAATTTTGTACTGTAGAGACTTTTTATGTGACATAACTTGGAAAAATATTTTTTAGCCGCTGCAAATAATGTACTCGCAAAGTACTAATAAAAGATAAGCTTAACGACATACTGACCCTTATATACGGATTTTGATAAATATATCTCTGCCGGAGATAACGTGTAATAGCATGTTTTCGATGACAAATACATATGCAAAAATGAGATGATAATTATATAATTGAATACATTGTACAGTTCAATTAAAGTCCAGGATGTTGAAATATAATCTTTATATCTTGATAGGTCACCGGGGAACCTTTGATCAAAAGATCTGATGATAACGAGGAAGCTCTGAAAAAACGATTGGCTACGTATCACACACAAACTGCACCTCTCGTCGACTACTACGCTCTACAAGGGATTCATTACTACATTAATGCCGCCCAATCCGCTGAAAAAGTCTTTAAGGACATCGACCAGATCTTCCTGAAATCTACCAAAAAGAAGGGCTTCTTCAGCAGATTTTTCTAGAACACTGCCAACAGAATTATTTTCAAAAATGTTCGTTCTTATGGGATTGGTTCTTGAAAGAAACAGAGATAATTGTAAACGTGTTAAAATAACGTTTCAAGAGCATCTTTATCATGGTCCTCATATTAATCTCATTGTCAATAACATGAACGTCACGTTTACAAGAATCACTGTAAAAGATACGTTTTGTGGCAATAAAACGAAGATATGTAGCAGTATTTTATAGACAGACACCATATTCTAGAGAGGTGCTACAATCATGGATCAAACACACATGATCTATTGATGCTAAGAATGTAAAATAATGCTTATTATATTAGCTTAGAAAAGAAGCAGATACATTTGTACATAGTCGTTAAAGAGTATTCCGATTCGTTGTTATCATATTTTCACGTGATATTGTCTATTTTATATCGGATTATTGAGATAGACTTTTATATATCTCAATATATTTTTAATTTCTTCTGTCGCGAAAGTTTATCAGATTAAAATATGTGAAACAACGGCGAGGAACATACACGGCGACCATGCACTATTTACAAATGCGCACAATAAGTTTTGATATTATGTTATTTTTAATGTTCAACGCGATTGACTTATTTTTTTATTTTTATTTTTGGAAATTTCGAAAAAAATTAACTAGAATTTTCAAAATGCCAATATCTTTTGCAGCACGGTCAGTAAACACAAATCAATCAATTATCTCAAAATAGATGACAATTTTGAGTTAATTGTGATTCTGGGATTGAATATGATAATATAAAGTCTAACTGCCACAATTAATGGTAAACGTAAAATGACTACGATCCTATTAGTCCGGATCTACAATAGGTTTTTAAGCCTTAAGCCATAAGAAAGGAACGAATCACAGAGTGCTTTCCAATTGCAATATCCCTAGACACTTTCTTGCACACGGCGACACAAGTTGCGTTCCAATTGTCCGTCAACACAACACTACACATCCATACTCAGTCGAGGACTGTGAAAGCTTGTGTTTTCTAGCGACAATTACATGTTACTAACTGCGGCGGCTGTAAATGAGGTTGGAAGACGTTGAGTGGCCGGCACTTTTACTTTTTTTTGTTTAATGTTGGCGGAAAAAGCTATATTTAATCTAACTCCATCCGAAACGGATCTCAACCGTGCACAAGCGTACACATTCTGTTCCAATTGAATCGTGCACAACGTTACACTTTGTGTATTCCTGTGTACGTTTGTAAGATGTGTTAAGCAATTGGAAAGCACCCACAGTTGATTATCCTCCTCGCATTCGACTGTAATTGGTCAATTTCTTACGGCTTGAGGCTTAAATCATCTATTGTAGATCCGGACTTACGCTTCATCACGTAAAAGTAGCAGCATCGAAATTGCAAGAGTAATTGATGTATAATTTTATAAAAGAACATATTATGAAGTTGCTTCTTAGAAACACGATTTTAGGAGAGTATGAACGAAGTGCAACGCAAATTAAAGACCTATTTTACATAGAAAAATAAAAGTAAATAGATATATTTTTCCTGGTACAATATGGTTGGTCCTATGCATTTACACGAAAACTCGAAATCCTAATATTTTCCGAAAGACAAATGTAAATCTGTACAAGCTAGAATAAATCACATGTGAAATCTTCATGATATCTTAGTTATGCTGATAATAATTTTAATTGTACATGTAATATCCTTTATAAGAAAACATGCCGATAGTAGATACCCTTAAACAATATTTCAACTATCAAATTTCAATTTTTATTTTATAACTATATTAAATTTTAATTTTAACTTTTTCTTAGTGGATTAGAAAATTAGGGTGATTTTCTTAATTATATCAATATTTCAGAGGATTTATCCAAAGACTAAAAACCAGAAAATATATTGCATATACATATATTGCAATTATTAAGGTTTGAAGTATTTTTAAAGTGTTTGTACTTTAAGAGTCATCATAGGTCGGTATTCATAATCGGTTCTTATATTTAAGGCGGTTAATACAGTCTTGGGATGTCACATAAACTAATCTTAAAATATTACTTATAACTTAACATAAGAACGGATAAGGAATACCAATCTTTGTCTCTTTTTCAAGACAAATTTCGCGCCTTTCCAAGAATTATTTTATAGGTCTATTCTTTTTGGCTAAAATTCTTGCACGATTCATCTTTTCTCAATTTCTTTCAAACGTAGAGAGAAAAGGAAGAAAGCTTATTTCTCACAGTTGGTCCTCTCGAAGTTTGAAAATGCAGCTTATTTTAATCTCATCGCGTCTTAAATTTCATCCTTTTACAATATTTTTAGTGATATCTCTCGCCTAAAATTGGAAAAACCTCTATCGAATATAAAATCCTTTTCTTTTATAAATATAAAAAACAGAAAATTAATAATTCTGTGTTAATAAAATATCGTAGATATTATTTGACAATTAAATTAGCGATTATATTAATAGTAATTCAAACAAAATATTGTTAATAATTTTTTAATTTGTTATCTCTAATCTATAATCTTTTTTCCATATATTATTATAAATAATATAGAATCAATAGTTCTACTCGCATCAATAAAATAATATGTGTACAAATATTTTAATGAATTAATTGAAATTATCTTCAAAGTAAATTTTCGATTTTAACTTCGCCAAAGATCGTCAAAAATCGTAAAAAATCATAGTTCTGCAGCACTGGTGAAGTCGCTTGTATGATTCTGCGCAGATTCTAAATGCGGCCATTTAAATATTTGCACCGCGGTAATTTTGAAATAACAGCTCAAGAGACCAAAATTAAGTAGGTACGTACTTGCCAAATATAAACATTTAAAAATGATTATTGAAAAGAAAAATTCAGAAATTTAAATTTTTATCGTTTTATAAAAAAAAAAGAGGTTTGTAAAAAATTAATTTCCATTATGGCAAAACATAAAACCGAATTCATTATATTATATAATTGTAAGCAAATATACAAAAAAATGAGTAAGTAAAATAATAATGTTATTTCGCCTAAAGGTGCCTTTTCACGCTGACGCTCGACGCTCATTTTCAGCGTCAAAACAGGTCACATGATCAAAATTGACGAATACCAAGCGTCAATTTTGATCACGTGACCTGTTTTGGCGCTGAAAATAAGCGTCTAGCGTCAGCGTGAAATCGCACCTTAATTCAAATAATCACTTGACTTGGTACTGTTACTTAACAATTTAATCAGCAATTAAATTAATATATAGTAATTAAAACAACAGAATTCTTAATAACAATCTTTGAATTGGTTATCTCTAATTCTTTTTCATTATATTATTATAAATAATAAAGGATTAATAATTCCATTCGCGTTAACGAAATAATACGTATAAATATTTTAATAAATTAATCGAAATTTAGTTGAAATTATCTTTAAAGTTAATTTTCAATTTTAATTTCGAGATCGTTAGAGATCGTCAAAGATCGTCGTCTCGCTGGCAAAAATAATCGACGAAGTCGCTCACCACGGACATCACGTTCGCCGGTCGCCCATCTAGTCTAGATTCGTTTTATGCATTATGAAAGCGAAACGTTTCGTTCGTTCGTCCATCATGGCCGTCATGGCGGAGAATGTTTTCGTTCCGTGATACGCCGACTCGCGATCGTATCGGCTCATCGATTCGGCCGGTCGACGACACAACGACAACGACGACGACGTTGATTTACGCTCGATTCCTCGGTGAAGCTCCAGCGATCATCCCGCGATCATGGACACGCGTGGCATCGAAGTCACGAATCAGCTCCGGGTGAGTGTTGCGGAACGCGTGTCTTAGCGCACGCGAAGGTTCTATTAGCATAAGATCGTCCAGTCATCCGGTTGCATGAAGACCCAGACGTGACATTTGATCCCGTACGTCGATACTATCCTGGTTATTATGTAATCATCAAGTTCTTCGCAGGGAGACGTGAAGGTTTCAAAGCGATGTGTGTCCTTCGCATGTCGCAGAATCCCCGCTGCTTAGAAATCCAGGCGCACCCCAGCTCTATTATTAAGTTTATTTATTTATGGAGCGTTAATTTCTGTCTTTCTGTGCATGCACAGAAAGTCTAGACTGTAGAAATAATTGGAAGCTATTTCTGCCTTCTTTCAAAAAAAAAAAAAAAATACAATGGTTTGAGAAACTATTATAATGCTTCTGAGAAAGACGAATGGAATCATTGTATTTACAAATTACTTCTGTCTCTCTTCTTTCTAGGAAAAGATAACATCTTTGAGAAACCATTGTAATGCTTCTAAGGCTGGTATTCATAGTCAATTCTTATATTCAAGACTATCTTAACTAATCAGAGGGCTGGGTTAGTTGATCTTAAAATAAGAACCAACTATAAATACCGGCCTAGGATATGTTTGACAAATTATTTATAAGTGACTTTTGTCTTCTTTTTAGAAAAAGATACAAAGCATCTTTGAGAAACTATTGTAATGCTTCTAAGATATATTTGATGAATTATTTATAAGTCACTTCTGTTTTCTTTTTGGAAAAAAAATACAAAGCATCTTCGAGAAATCATTGTAATGCTTCTAAGATATAATTGATGAATGGAATTATTTACAAGTTATTTCTGTCTTCTTGGAAAATGATGTAAGAGTGTTACGGAGGAGCAACTACGTTTCTCAAAAAGCATTATTATACTTGATGAATGAAATTATTTATATCTAATTGTATAGTGTATTAAAAATCAGATCTTATAAACTAATTAATATAAAAATTTTTGCAAACACTATTTTCAGAGAAATAGATTGGACGATATAAGCTTGTTGAATGATCACCGAAGTATCTAGGCCTCTGAATTATTTCTTAAGGCAATCAAATCACTGGCTTATAAATTGAATCAGAACAATTGGTCGTTCACTAAACGCTACTGTGACTTTTATAACTCATTGCATGACCAACTGAATGTTGTTGCCTATTATACTCAGTGCATTATTTGACATTCCCAAGTCAATTACAATATTTTGGTTGGATTGAATTCTTTTTTGGGGATCGAATGCAATTCGATTGAAAAAAAAAAAGAAAACTTAGCAATAGAATAATTCCCAAAATAATTTAAAGAGAACTTTAGAATATACGAATGTCAGAAGGTCTGTTTGTGTTACTTGGACTTTTTGCACTCAGCATCTTTGCTTTCTCTTTCCTCAAAACGTCCGAATATATATATATTTATTTCATTTTAAGTACAAATTTTTGAGGAATTTAAGCAACGCGACAGACCTAGATATAATCTTATCACACTTAGGAACGTTAACTTTTACCCTTACAAGATAGGAATCCATTATAGTGGCGCTGAAACTTACTGTGTCATTTTGAGGCAAAAAATTCAATGAATTATAATAAATCTTTCTTAAGGAAAAACTAAGATTTTAAAAACAGATTCCTCCGCTGTCTAAATCCCTCTACAAAGATTTATTAGAATTTGTAAACACATTAGGGAAAATATGTTCAAAAGTTACGTAAATAAGTGTTATGGCCATTCTACAATAAGCCATTGTCCAGAGTTAATCATTAGTAATAAATTGAAAGTCAGAAGCTAAAAATTGATCAATCACAGTTAAATGTAAAAAGAATTATTGACTATGGTCGGTATTCATAGTCGATTCTTATATTTGAGATTGTCTTAAGAACAGTCTTAAAATGTCATAAGCCAATCAGAGAGAGGGCCATATTAGCCTCTTAAGACATTACTTAAGATGGTTTTAAAATAAGAACTACAACTGAATACAGCCTATGATTGGTCAATTTCTAGCTTCTGACTTCTGAATTATTATTAATGGCTTATTGTAGAATGTGTTTTAGAAAAAAGCAATTGAATTGAAACATATAGTACAATGTAATAAATTGTGTATGGGATCTGATTTTTAGTACACTCTTTA